ACAGTTTGATGTCACTAGACGTTCAGATAAGTAATTCTGTATTTTTAAAAAGCTATCATTTCTTCAAAATTCCAGATTTCCACTGAAAAAAAGCCCAAGAAAATTGCCAGCCATGACTCGGCCTTTTTCTGTGTGGAATGATAAGAAAGTTTTGTCGATTCCTCTTGCTCTGCAGTAATCAGCATGGAGCAGAGGCGAGGCAGAATTAATGGGCTCAGCAAATGCTGTGGGTATAGCCACTTACAGCAGTGTCGAGTGTAACAGAGGTTATAAGAGGATACCCAACCCTGGAGAAAAAAATGAAGAATTTGCTACTGTTGAAAACTTATTTGTCTGCTTATTTTGAGATCTACATACTTTTCACTAAAATCCTTGAAAAAATAATTAAATAGAGGAATGCAAAGGGTTATGAAGTTGAGTTTACACAGCAGCTAATTTAAATTCCTGTGTGTAATCCAACTTCAGATCATGATTCACAGAATATAGCACAGCAATACCCCCATGTCCCTCCTTCATGAATGGATGTGAGTCACTGTTAATAAATAAATATGCATCAGACTTTTTGGGCCACATCTGTTGCTTAGATGTGTGGATACTGAGCTTAGCTCTATTTTTGTAACCAAGTTGGTTTTCAGAGGAAAGTGTGAAAGTGAATGTGTTTACTGTGTAAATGCTGGCTGGAAGTCAATATGTTTCTTTTTGAAGCTTGTCTTGCAATCTTCAGGGACTTTAGCTCAGGCTTTACTTTTTTAATTAAAAAAAAAAAGAAAAAGACTCTACTTTCTACTGTTAAAGGCCCGTGTACCCCACAAATCTTTATTTATCATCTTTTTGAATTTTACTTCCTCTGTTGTATTCTTTTGTATCTTTCTGGATATCTGGCTACTTTTGACTGTGTATGGCTATCTATTGGATGTTTGCATACTGCTAGTTCCCTGTATGATTTAGTTCTTCTTCCAGTACAAAATTCCTTCACTGTTACAGGAAAGTGCCTTCTTCTAGAGGCTTTTGCATTTTGAAATAGCCTTTGGATTTGTTTGGGCTTTTTTTTTTTATACTTTTAATTAATTTGGCCTTACACTGAGGGAGTTCACCACTTTGCTGTTAGTTAATATTATTTTCTATTACTTGCTATGGTGAAGGCAGAACTCTGATGCCTACTTGACAGGAAGATCAAAGCTTGACAAGATCCATGTGGATTTCAAAAGCATTAATTGCATTCGTATTATTGCAGTATATACCCCAATACGTTAAGGATATAAAAACGTCATTAATACCTGCAGGATTAAGGTATTTAGAGATTAGGGGTTGGGATGGTCCAGTTAGACTCCATGGGAACATCTTGACTTTCGTTATTTCTTAGTAGGTACCAGAACTTTCTCAGAGCTGGATTTATTCAGGGTGTCTCCTGACCTGGTGCTCTTTTGAAAGTCTTTGTCTTGGATGGGTGATTAGATTTAGGATGTTGCCTTAAGGTGAAACGTACAAACAGATTTAGAGGGGAGAAGTGGTTGTTACATAAATGTCCATTCTTATATGGAGATAAATGGAGCAGTAGCATGCTGCCTCCCCAGCCATTACTTATCGGTTGGCAGTTGTTCCGGAGGCCACACAAACACCACGCTTAGCTGATCTTGCACATTTCCTCCTATTTCCCCTCTAGGTTTAAGGTAGTGTCAGTCAGTAAAAACATGAGCATCCTAAATAGTGGAGGACTTCCTCAAGGATCTGCAGGTGTTGCTTTCTGTATTGCTAAAATAAGTAAAGACTAGACATCTACAGGAGGGTCCTCAGCTAAAGAGTTTCTTGCACTATTTTGTCTGTAAAAGAGCTAGAAAATTACCTTTTCCCATTTGGCTTAAGAGAAAAATGCTCAAAAATATTTTTTTTTAATTTTTCAGATTAAAATCTCTCCTGTTCCCCAGCAATGTATACTTGTTTGCTCCCTCAGCTCTTAGTTATGCTAAACTTTTACTAAAGTTTTTTTTTTTTTTTTAAAGGAGGCATTGAAGCATAATATGTGTGAGTCTGTAGCATAAGACTGCATATGTGATACAAGCAGGTTCATCACTGAGGCAGTGTAATGCAGAGTAAAGAGTCAGTGCTGAACACTTGCTGGTAGTAGCATGCAAATGATCCATTACTCTTTGTAAAACTTTTGGTGTGATTTGGCTATTAATATTCTGAATTGAATGCAAATTGCTAATACAGTTTGCTGCATACAGCGCCTGGTCTTCTTTCAAAATCTGTCCTTTACTCAGTACTCCAGTTAAAAACATATGCCTTTTCTGTATTTGACTTTACATATTCCAGCTATAGTACAGAGTATTTTTTTCCATGTTTTAGAAGGATCATTTGAGATGCTTTTCCTGTTCCGTATTTTTCAATAACATTGCAAAAAAAAAAAATTGTAGTATATATTTGAATATCATTAGTGCACAATGGATGAAATTGGTGAATTAATAGTTCTAACACTTTGATTGTTTCAGGTGGAAAGGATACCATAACATTCAGTGACCCAGCCTTACCTGTTATACAGCGGTCCAGGTCACCATTGTTAGCATTTACTGATAAACCACAGAAAACTGAAGTACAAGGTGAGCACTTGGAACATAAGGAACATGATGAGAGCTGAGCACTCATTTCTTTCCGAATAAAAAGTAATACATTTTCATGCTGGGATAGCAGAAGGCAAAATTTCAGTGGTCACAGAAATCGAATAAATCATCCACAAGTAAAATGGATAGATGGTCCCAGTACAAATAGCAAAGAAACAACTGAAAAATGACGGTTGAATAGATTGCACAGGGCTAGGGACCAGGCCTTAAGAATTTTCCTGCTAGATAACTTGAAACTGTGAGAAGTTATTCATGCCATCTATGTTACTGTTAACTGCGTCCTGCTCTTTTTCCCTTGGTTAAAATGCACAGTGGGAAAGCAGTCTGTGGAACTGGCTTAGCACTTTCCTGCATTATAGCTGATACCTAGATGAAAGGCTTCCTGATTGAGCCTGGTAAATTGAAATACCCGACTCATTTTCCCAGAGAAATTGACTGCTTTTTTTAGTCTTGCATGTGTTTTGTTAAAAATCCTTCCCCAATAGCAAGCTTTAACATCTCTCCAAAGTCAAGCTTAACTTTATTTGACAGTAGCAGAAGACAGTGTTTTGCTGATAACCTTGATTTTTTTTTCCTTAGTTTTTCATAATGGATGGGAGATGGATTATTATGCTTGCCTATCAGCATTTGGATAAGCTCTTTAACGGGCGTAACATTTTGGTATGCCCAGATCTTACTCGGCTAACCATGAAGCATTATAAACAATGTATTTGTTAGTCCTGAAACTAAATAGATTGTGGCTTAATTTTTACTTTATTATCCATGTCATCATCTGATAAAACTTGACAGTCAGACTTATCGGTTTGTATAATCTTGATCAGATGATATTTTTGCTAAAAATAAGAAGTGAAACTATAGTGAATACTTCTCCAGTAAGTAATATGAACTCATAAATATTCATTTTTTTGCCTGCTTAATCATTGATTTTTAATTAAATTTGCAGTTACTGAAAATATTTACTTGCTGGCATTATGCTTTTTCCTTTACATATTTGTCCTAGGTGAGGTTGGTATTACACTTTTGATTAAAGCTGCCTGTTGAATCTCATCAGACGCTGTTTCTGTTGGTTTGTAACACTGCCAAACTTTAGCTCTGGGCTGAAGCTTTCCATGCTGTGTTTTCTACTTCAGCTGATTTTTTTTAATGTCAGCCAAATCACTTTTTTGTGTTAAATTCCAATGACCACGTGGTTTTTGTTGGTGTTTTGTTTGGTTTGGTTTTTTTTTTTTTAAACAGGCAGCCATTTGGTATATCTGTAATTGAAAGGAATTTGAAATCTGGTGAAAAGGTTTCCACCCTAAGAAAACAGGCTGGAGTTTCCACCCCATTCTAAACCATTCACTTTCATATCTCATCTGCTAAAAACAAAAACTAAACCAATTATTCCGTTGAGCTTGCTTCATGCCACCAGCTCTGGTAAAACTCTGCATGCACCATTCCTTCAAGATAATATAACCCTAGAGGGGATAAAGCCTGGAGCAGGGAGGAAAGGAAGGCTGAGATCAGGACTCTCAAGTGAGAGGAAGACTAGAGTAGATGGGGATTGACAGAGTCAAAGGAAGTCTGAGTGAGGGGGGACTTGTATCTGGTTGAGCAGAGGTCAGAGCACAGGAGTGAGGAACCAAAATGCTGACAGTGAAAGCAAGGCATGATAAAAAAGATTGGAAGGTGGATGAGAAATGGGCAGAGCGAGTGTAGGGACTCCATAAACAAAGGGGTATAGGGCAGGAGCAAAGGGCTAGGCAGGGGAAGAGAAGAGTAGAATAAAACAGCTTTGGAGAGGAGAAGACGGACAAGGAGTAGGTCTGTGGCAGTCATGGGAAGAATCTGTTCCCAGTAGGTTGTCACCCTTTTTTCCCCTCCCTATCCTATGACTGTAAGACAGACAAGGTGACTTGGACAGGCTGGAGAAGTGGGCCCAGGTGAATGTCATGAGGTTCAGCAAGGCCAAGTGCAGGGTCCTGCACTGGGGATGGGACAATCTTTGTTACCAATACAGGCTAGGAGGTGAAGTGCTGGAGAGCAGCCCTGAGGAAAGGACTTGGGGGCAGTAGTGGATGAAAAGCTGGACATGAGCCACCAACGTGCACTTGCAGACCAGAAGGCCAACCGCATCCTGGGCTGCATCAAAAGAAGCGTGGCCAGCAGTAGGTGGAGCAACAGTAGCTTCCTCTGTTGTCCAGATCTTCTTTCTGGAGGATGTTTGGGGCTGCCATCTTCCTTTCGAAACCTGGAAAGGAAGCAGCCTGTTTTCAGCTGCAGGGCATGTCCCTGTGCTTGGAGTCATGCAGCTCCTCTGCAGTCAGCAGCTGTATGGGAGTGACACACTGAGTCACCTTTTCTGTCTCTCTGCATAGAGAATGGCTGTCTGCCGTTAAGTTTTAGGAGTTTGGTGCATATTGCAGTTTTTCATCTATACAGTGTACCTGCAAAATCTCGGGGACCTTGGCAGCTGGGGAGAACATAAGGAATGTGTTCATCTGCCTTAGTTTACTGAGCAAATGTGCCCTTGGTTTAAAAGTATTCTAGAAATAAAAACAAAACCACTTCTATTTTCCTATTCGTTGAATGATCAGTTGAGTGAAAACAGCTGATAATCGGAATAGCAATGAAATTCTTACACGTCTTTAAGCACTAGGCCTGATGTCATGTTGATCATCTGTGATCCTTTACCTGGTACCATTGGTATTTGGTGCCTGTTTGGTCCAGGAACCATTTTTAGCTTTTGCACTGACACATTCTTTATCAGAACTTTCTATAATACATCAAATGTTACTCTAGATAGATCTACAGATAATCAGAGGGCTTTTTCAGGCTTTTTAAAATCTAATTATTTGCTTACCCTGATATCATCAAGGCCTGTTTTAGTCTGTCCTCCTTATCAGTTTCAGTTAAGCTGGATGCTAGAAGTCTGTAGGATATACTGTACAGTTCCTGTGTGAAAATTCATAGTAACATAGTACAGTCCTCTGAATTAAAGACTGTCTTGTGCCACCAAATCTCACGTTATCCAACACACAGGACAGGAGTGTCGTGGGATAGATTGTACTCCAGCATCATGGCTGCTAATGAACAGGTATTCGGGTTTTTTTCCTCTTCATTGTTGAGTGCATTGTTCCTGCTGTATTGCCAGGCTATTTCAGGCATACCTTGCAGACAAAAGTACTGTTTTTCTATGAACTTTTATCTGGTGTTCTAGTGCTTTGAAACAATTTATCTTCAGAAAATTGCAGCAAGGTGATGGGATGGTGTTATCCCACTGTAGAGGGAGGAAACTGAGGCATGCATACAGTCCCTGCTAATCTGAAGTGACAATCCGAGGTACATAAGTTTTGGCTCTTTTTGGAGCACTTTGAGGGCGTATGTTCAGATGCACAATGTGAGCAGAGCAGTACTGCAAATCAAGCTCTTAGGTTTCCAGCTGAGTGCTCCAGTAATGAGGATTAGATCCAGTTGGTGGTCACCTTTTGAAAGTTAATTTATCCCTGCCTTTTCCACAGACTTAAATTCCAGCCTTTCAGAGTAGCTTCCTTAATGGTAGTAAGAGTGTCTGTTCCCTTCATGCCAACCTTTGTCTCACTCACTTGGCAGCTCTCAAATTCTCAACGAGCTGGGTCTGATAAGAGACAGCAGCCTGCTGGGGTGTGTGGCTCTGATCCCTCCTGGCAGCCGGGCTGTCCTGTGCTGTGAGCAAGGCAGGATTTCTGTGGGAGAAATAGAGTAAATGCTCATACACTGCAAGGTGATGTGTATGCACGACAAGAGTCATTTTAAGCTGTCAGTGCAGCCGTACATCTGGCATTTCCTAATTTTTCTTACTTGACTTCACAAGCTTATTTTCAATGAGGCTTTTTGTCCTTAACTGAGATGAGGACAAATTCTTTGTCTTTCACAAAGCTGTTTGTTTACACATTGCTTTTTTCTCTATTCTGACACTTTGTTCAGTGTTTGCCTTTTGGTATAATGGTATATTTAAAATTCTTCCACTGCTGCTTTGTTTTATGCTGTCACCAAAATTAGAGCATTTTTTTAATGTTAGGGGAGATGTTGCAGGACCCATTTTTGGATGAAAGCCTGTGAAAAGCTCCAAATAAATGGAGCCTGTGTTAACCTTTGAAAGTGGTAGTGATGTGGGGATTAACGTTAAGCTGTGCCAAAAATTTCTGTAGCTGAGTGCCTTGCTTAGAGTTGATATTCCTTGGAAAAAGTGTGCCTGACCCTGCTGTTCTACAGTGTGGTATCAGGTATGGCTCTTAGAGTTGTCGGTGTCAGGGAAAGACAGGCTCCGAAACAGGGCCAGGTCCAGCAAGAAACTTAGTGTTGATGGCTTATCATCTAAGAAATGGGCCTGGGACGGGATAGGGAATCACTCTTAGGAATTCCTTACTGAGGTAAACATCTCTGTGGTCTGCACTGGTGGTGACAGTCTTCATGTCAGATATATAATAAATAGCTGCGACTGACTAGAGCATCTTGCTGTTGCATTTCTCTTTCAGCAGAACAGAAGGGAGAACGTGATGAAACTGGTGCTGTTGCAAGTGAGTCCCTGGCTCCAGAGGGAACCAACTTAAATAACAGAAACCAAAATAAACATTTTTATCCTTCATTACCCCAGTTACCTTCTGAGGAAGAAGAAATAAACAAGCTTGGAAGTCAGATAATTAAACTGACAGAGCAGGCAGTTGCAGAACTGGAAGGGAAAAGAGCAGGCGCTTCCGAAGGGGAGCAGAGCACGGTGGTTGGAGCAGAGCTTAATGGTTCATCTGAGGGAGAGTTCCCGCTTTCCAGCCCCGACCCATCTGACCCCACAGATACCTCAAACTCGGAGAATGAACAAACAGCTGAAACTGAGGCCCTGAAAGACAATGACGAAACCTCAGAGAGTGACTGTGAAATTAGAAATGAAAGAGGAGATCAAAATAGCAGCGCTGTGGATGTGGTACATATTGAGGACCCTGGGAGGCATGGAGGGCTCGGTGATACAGCTGCACACACAAATAACAGCTTTGAGGAGCTCCCTGAATCTGAACACAAGAAACCGTCTGATTCTGCTGAAAACTCTGGATATTTGGATAACAGTTTGGCTTGAGGTACGAAATCCAGGCCCTTGAGCATCTCACTGTAATCCTTTTGCCGCATCTGTGCTGTTGCGAATGTGATTGGTGAAAGAGAAAAGAGTGTACTGTAGGGTTGATTTTTACATCAATCTGCTAATATTTAATTAAGTCTAATAAAGGTGTTTTTCTGATAGTTTTGGCTACAGTATACCAAAAATGTAAATTACCTAAGGGAATGTATTAGTGATGAGGTTTAATCGTGTTGCTTTTTTGTAATGGGTTGAAGTTTCTACATAGATTGATGTAATTTACATTGGTGTAGCAAAGAGATTATGTTATCACTAGGCTTCTGTAGCATGTATGGTCCTAGTGCTGGACTGTATTTTAATGGTTAGAAGTGTCTTCCAAGGATGAAAAATTTGGAGTGATAAATTGAGAAGCATCTTAAGGCTGCGAGCTTTTGCTTGTTTCTCAGCCTGCATTGTGTATCTCTTTACATATAGTGACTGTAAGTTCATCCTTAGAATAAAATCACTATTCCCTTATAGGAAATTTCTGAAATCCATTCCTGCATGTATATAGTGCTCCTGTTACAGACCTTTATGTCTTCTCAACTGTACAAAATTTTTCCTTCCCTCTCCCAGCTCATCTCATGAAAATGCAGGGAGTTATCTCACCAGATGCTGACAAACAAATTTAATGAAGCTCTGAAGGCAACATCACTGGAGAAGCCGGAAGTCTTTCTGTGAGAAGTGGCAATGCTGTTCCAAATCAAGGAGAACAGCAAGAGGAGAACCAGTGATGCCTGTCCACCTGCTTGGCTCTCTCAGTTACTGGAATTGCTTTCCTTAACCTACATGAGCTGGAACAGCCCTTGGGCTGAGTAACTGGTGGTAGATGATGGCCTGGTCCATCTGTGCCCTCCTTTTTAAAGGAATCTGTGGTTTTGTTTTTTTTTTCTCTTAGGTTTTGGCATTAAGGATAAATGTTCCTTTCCTCCTCATTTCACCAGCCTGTGGTGTAGTAGAAGGTTTGTTTGCATTGTGCTCCTTTCTTAAACTTCTTCCCCTATTGATGTTTAGTCATAGGAAAACATTCCTATAATAACTGGGGAAAAGGGAGACTGCTGTGTCATTCCCTAGCTTGCTCCTGATGCTGGAGCTGTGCCACTCTGCTCCTAGGAAGGCAGCAACAAGGGAATACTTAACGTTGAAGTTAGCAGCTGTTGGAGAAGAGGAGGCACGTCCTTCCTCTCCTGTTTGTAGCATAAGGAATAGTCTCTGCAGCTGTGGAGCTTCTGTGGGCCAGCAGCCGTCAAGGCAAATTTTCTGCTGGCTTGGGACCTAATTGTCTGTAAATGTTCATTTCTCACTCCTAGAACTTGAAACCAATCAGAGAGAATTAAACCAAATTTAATAAAATACTACTAATAAAAAGGAAAATCCCTCCCAGATTGAGTCCTTCTTTGACAAATAACTGCCAGCTGCAAATTTTTACAGCCCACTTGTCAGCTACTGAATAAACAGAGTTTATATTAGCAATACTGACAAACTCTTCTGTATATGGGAGATGAGCTAGCAGGTGCTGCCATAATCAAGGTGTCAGAGTCCATGAACAGTTTGTATTCAGCAGAAGAAAGGCTGTATGTAAATGATTACCTATAAATATAAGGAATGATAGTGGGAAGGTGAAAAATGTGTCTTGTCTCTGTTCTCATGTGTTTTCCCTAGCAGGTGCATTCATGTAACCCTTTCAGTGTCTGTCTGCAGGCAATAAAGCCATACTCACAGTGCTCATCATATATGTTTCCTTTCTCTTTAAAGGTAATTTGACATTGCAGCATTTTACTGATATTAAGCAGCAGCCCTTAGGAATAAAAACCATCTGTATATTTAAGTGTATTAGGGACATGAAGCAGTAAAAAGTTTTCTTTCATTATCCTGGTCACCATTTAAGTTCCTTATCACCTGAAAAACCAAGAAGAGTTTAAAGTATTTGAAAGATTGTTATGCTGTTCCCATTAATTGTAACTGACTGCATTATTGACTCATTTATACGACAGCACTGACAAGTTGGAAGAGAAATAGCTGCAGAAACTGATATCTCCAGGAGAATGCGGCAGCATTTTTTCCTTTAGTGCTTGAATGTCACATGAAGTAGCATTTTATTCAAGATGTATTCTTTTCCATCTTTCACAGGCTAACCCTGCATAGAGCTAAATATCAGTGCAGTCAGAACTGAGGGAAGCGAATAAGAAGGTCAGGATTTCACATTGCTGAGCTCGGAAACATTGAGGATGTTAGGTTGTTTCCCCGCCTGTGTCCTTCCTGAGCTGCAGTTGTGTGAGTTAGCATTTTGCTCCTGGTCCCTTAACAGCCAGTTATCGCTATTAGTTAGTGAAGAGCTTGATGCAAAAATTTGAGCAGGTAGAAGCAGTGCTGGGCCAACAGCTTTTTAGTGCCTCATTCATTGATTCTTTTTAATACATTTTTTGTGTGAGAACATAGTGATGTACAACCCAACAATTAGGACACCTTGGTAATGTAATTATCCTCACACCACTCTCCCTCTTAAGACTCCATTTTTATATCTGTACAATCATTAAATTCCAGTGAGATACCTAGATCTCTGGAAATCTCATTTTTAGTGCTATATCACTGCTGCAATACCGTCCCTCTCCTTTCTATGTTTTTAGCCTTTTCCCAGCAACACAAGACTTCAAAGCCAGCAGTCTTGTAAGACATCTTTGCTGCACTATGTGATAACTAATTGAATATTCTTGTCAGTATCTTCCTTTGATATTGCTTTAATTGATATTGCTATGATGTTAGAATGAGTATTTATTTTCCCAGTAAATTAATAAGTGTTTTGTTGTAGAATCAACACTACTTCAGGTTTTTCAGGGGTGAGGGGGTGGGGTGTGGGCTGGTTGATTTTGTTGGGCTGGTTTTTTTATTTTTTAGACTTGTGTTCCCTTTTTCTAGGACTTCAGAAATGCAGAAATTGCATCCAGACACGTAAGCCTTTTTGGCATTGGGCTCTGGGGAAGCAAACTGGGAAGGGAATGTTGTGGCAGGGATATGGAGAAGATGCATCTTGCAAACTGATCTTAAGGAAGTTGTCTCACCTAAAAGTGAATTCATGCATTATCTGTGAGAAGGATTTCATTTGAAAGTACGATGCTGTGGTTATTTGAAAAATAATGTTCACTGAATTTGTAAAATAACTGTGTGAAAATGACAGATTACGAAGCATCTTTTAGAATGCTGGTTCTTTTCTAAGTGAGACTATTTTTAAGCATATGGGTATTTGTATAATAAAGACAGTGGAATTTCTTTAATCCATATGAGCTCAGGAATGTATTTCAAATTCTTAACTGAGATTAAGTTGAAAGTCTGCTACCTTTCTAAAAGATAGGATTTTGTTTGCCAGCTTCTCTTTTGTAGTTTTACTTTCTAAATTATGCAGTTTAATTTATTTACAAACCTCTCTTTTGTTGCTGCCTGGATTAACTGCACAACATGATTCAAATAGATTAATACATTTTGTCATCTTTAATAAAAACGTTTCCTGATACGCTTGTCCTACCTGCTTGTTTCCTTTTCTCAGTAGCAGATGAGTGATAGTCATGAGGTAGTGTTTTAGTATTTTCAGTGAGTAAAAAAGTAAAGCTTTATTGAGTCAGAGTTTTAAGTTTGAAAATTATCTGACTTAAATCTTATCACTGTCATTTCTCCCAGTCTACTTTGACTGATTTACTTCCTACATTTCTGTTTGAAAAAACACACTCAGTATTTTTTGGCTTTAAAAATAATATTTATCTCTGATCTGCTAGCTTTATCGTCATTGTCTAAGCAGCATTAAAACTTTTGTATACAACCTCATTACTAACAGGCACAAACTAGAGGCTTTAGGGAATTTTTGCTGGGGAGTGATGGTAAACTGGAATATTTCTTTTAAGTCTGCTTTCATATGTAAACAGTGTGACTCAGCTATAGCCATGTGGACAATTTAAAATAGTTAAGAAGTTTATACATGTTTGAGAATAAAAATTGAAAATACAAGTAGAATAACATAATGGATCTAAAGTTTAAAACAGAAATGTCTGTACTTTCCCTTATTTTTAGGGGAAGTCCGTGTTCCAGGTCTTGCAACACAACACCCGATGCTGTTGAAAGCACAGAGATCTTTTTACTTTTCAGGTTTGCCACTAAATACAGGATAGCACCTAAAGAGAGGGAGTTTCTTACTCATATTAACTTTTTACCCTTTGGTATCTAACTTAGGATCCCTTAAGACCCCTTTGCAGCACTCCGAATCTTTACGGACTATCAACCATATCCGATAGTACTCTTACTTACATGCATTCGACTCCCAAACTGCATAAAAGGGAATGTTTTATCCTCAAGAAAATACATCACAATGTTGAGTTGATGCTGTTTTTATTGATGGGCTTACAGAAAGGAGGCTCTACAGAGTGGTAGGCATTTCTTAGAGGAGCAAGCGAATGGAAACGCGAATCCTTTAGCCATATATCTTTGTGGCCAGTGGCACAGCCTAAGGTACTTCGTGCTGCCCAGGCTGTAGCTGGCTTGTTGGTCTTCCATTAAGCCTGGTTCTATGTTCGTTTGCTGGGCCCTCTCTTCTTCTTGTCTGTAACCTCAGACAGTTTCTCTTCCCACAAGTTCTTGTTGCATATCCCAATCACACAGCAAGCCAGACGTTTTCCAGCATTTCCATTTTCCAAACTGGCCTTATTGTTGCCCTTGCCCATGTCATCTTCCTGCTCGTGGATCACAACAGACCTGCCCATGATGGAATGTGGGCCAGACATAGTGGCAAAGAGATTTGTTTTGTATTTTCTGATTTTGCCTTCTTTAGGAAAAAAGTTGCCGAAATCCCCTGGGTGACGGGGGTGATTCACGCGAAATGGGTTATAGTGTCCTCCTGTAGCATCGCAGCCGTTGCTGAGATCCCCGAGCTCGTGGATGTGTATAGCTCTACCAGATTGATTACTATCCAACGGAAACCC